CAGGGCTGACAACAGCTAATGTCAACCACGATTTGTAAACACCAATTTTATTCAACGGAGTGGTACCAATTTTGATAGCAATTTGTCACTATTTTGGGCCACAAATGAATAGTCAGGGTTTATTAATGCAGGGTTGACATGTCATTTCACATGCCATAACCCCACTTCCCAAGAATCATTGCAGGCTTGGCACCAATATTTTTTCAGCTATATCCAAGAAGGTATCCCTCATGTCATCAGTTGCGATCATGACATCAGAGATTTTAAACATGATCATAAATATATATATATACATATATGTACATATATATATATGTATATATATGTACACATATGTATATATATATGTACATATATATATATACATGTACATATATATATATGTATGATATATATATATATATACATATCCGGCAATTTATTTAACATAGCTACGGAAGATGGCTCTTTTGTAGATGATCCACTTTTTGAAATGGTGATGGCTTTCCCTGTGAAAGTACCAGAGGGATGACCAGCAGTACCTGGGTTTCGACGGTCCTGGTGGGGGGTCGGATCCATTTTTCAAGCGTTTCAAAGACACCATGAGTCTTTAAGCAATGGTTCGACATGGTCGACACCATCCGAACATGGGGCCCAAATTGTCGAATGTCTCCCTGTTGACTCCTGTTTTTTTTTTTCATTTCACATCCCTTCAACGATCCGCTGAGACATGAAACCAGCCACGTTTCCACAGCCGGCACAGCCCTGCAAGGAGATGATGTGGTAAAACAAACAACTCTTCGTTCCTGGACAGCAGTACCTGTTCCTGGAGTGCCCTCGCCACCGAATCGCCACTAGGATTGAGAAGAAACATCCACACTGACCCTGAACATGATTGGAACCAAGCAATAAGCAAGCCTCTCAGAAGCAAGGCCAGATAAATCGATTTATAGTTAATATTATTTAATATTCCTAGCCAGAAAAAAATAGGTTTACAGTATGAATATCTAATAGTGAAACCAATAACAATCATAGTCATAGCGATCGTCCAGCAACTGTCTGTTGGATTGAAGCAGCCCTGGGTTTCGAAAAAGGGGGTTTTCCGAAAGCTGGGCAGGCGATCTGCACCAGCGACACGTGAAGAAAATGGTGAGGTACATAAGGAGCGTGGCGAAACTTGGGATGTGAAAAACGTCAAAACACAGAAACTGTGTCTGAAAACGTTTTTTTTTTTTAAACCCCAAATTCATAGCCACCCACATCAATTTACGGGAAAATGACGGTCACACCGTGTGGATTGGGCGTTTACTCCGCATGTTCCCCTGCAACGGATCTGTCCCCAGAAACGATTCAGTGGTGCCCTTTTGCCTGGACGACATGATCTGCATTCAGTAGCTAAAAACAATGGTAAACGTCCTAGAATTAAGCCGGAAAATGTGGAATGCATGAATTATGGAGTACATTTACTACATTTCAAAATATTTTACTGGCCTTTTACCCAATGATGAAGCTCATCCCATTTTTTTGGTAGAGGCTCGGTATACGGCGTTTTCTGCGACGGGTGAATCTGTTTTTCAGCCACCTCGCAACAGTCACCTTAAAATGGATGATTTGGGGGTATCCCTATCGGAGGATCCGAAGTTCTTTGCAGGGTATCCAGAGGTATCCAGAAACGTGTGAAGATGGTCTGCCAGGGGTCCATATTTGGATCCACCAATGCCATTGGGTGGGACTTTCCACAAACAAAAAATGGATCTACATCGGTACACCAACTTTTTTCCGGCCTGACTTGAGAAAGGTATCACTGATAGAAACAGTTACTAGGTGTGGAAGTGTTCCTCCCTAAAACTGCGAAAAAATGGAGGTGCAGACAGAGGAAGAACCATGGGTACCAAAAAATACATTTTCGTAACTTATTGTTTATGTTGCGTCTTTTTTTCCCGAATGCGTAACGAAGAGTTTTCCTTCAACATTGGTATTGTCTAGGGCTTGGAGCCCGGGTTCTAGCCTTGGATAAAGGTGTGTCTGAAAACTTTGGTTCTTTTTGACCCCAATTACATCCAGTTAAACTGACAATGAAGCAGAGGGATTTAGGGGTAGCCATGGGTAGCCTATTTTCAGAACCCAGATGCAACAGTTGTGTCATTTTGGGTGTCAAGGTGTGAAATGCAGCAGAGATAGACTCTTTAGGTGTGACTTTTGTTGGGTGCGGGGAGAGGTCAGTTTGCAGTTCCTAAGTCAGTAGCGTGTTTCAAGTTTTTTTTAGTTTTAAGTGACATTGAAGCTGCATGAGGGGTACAAAAATCGTGGTGAGGCTTGTTCGACCAAGGATAGCACCTGAGATCCTGACTACAGACGTGGAAGAGAAACGCCTCGTTTTGGAGATCCGATCGGAGCAGACGCCGGAAGGTAGGGGAAAACCTCTGCCATTCCCGCGGAAAACTGCCGGAGTTTGAGAAAACTGCCTGCGGATTTCAATCTGGAGAAAGTTTGATTGGAAGAAAATCCAGATGTGAATGGATCCTCACATGTTGGGCCATTTGATGTTTAAAGATGTTTAAACATTCAAACGAACATGAACATGTTGGGCTCATTTTTGTTGGGCGACTGCCATTATAAAGCCCAAAAATCAGGTTGGAATCCGCATGGTGTGGCTTGTGCAGGTCATACAAAGTCAAATCTTACTTGGTGCAATTCCACTTGCAACTGGATTGATTGGATATATAACCATAGTTACTATAATATAATATATATATATATTATATACATGTATAATAATATATATAATACGATATAATGTACAGTAATATAATATAATATAATGTAATATAATGTAATATAATATAATATAATATATTATAATATAACATAATATAATATAATTTAATGTAATGTAATATGATATAATATAGTATAGTATAATATTATAATGTAATATAATATACTATAATACAATATAATATGATATAATACCATATATTACAAACATTATATGATATGATATGATATAATATAATATCATAAAATAAAATATGACATGATATAATATATTATAATATAGATCTATATGGGGTTGATATCCCAACTTATGTCACCATGACACAGATTAAATCAGAACCGGGTACGTGTTTTGTGGATGTCCAACACCACTGCATCGGAGCATCCCTGTGATTCGTTGGGGAATTCTTTGCACGGTTTTTTTTCATAAAATCCCAGCTTTGGAGTTGATTCAACGAACCAAGAAATTCGGGCGGAGAAGCCGCCTCTCAAACTGTTTAACTGGTGAAGGTCCATTTGTGGATCTTCGTGGCATGTACCGACAGATTGAAGTTTGATGGCTGTCAACGGAAAGGTGGGAGCCCAACAGTTGGATGTTGGAAAAGAGCAGGACACGTGATCGGTGACTAGTTGACCCTAGGCCCTAGTTCTTCGCACTTGATCAGGTTCTACTTTTCCGTTTGGATTGTCATAGCATGTCACCATGCGAATCACCATCGACCAGTGTAAACCAACGAGCACAACAATTTTAAGCGCAGCTTTGGGCAATTACTCACGTATCCGGTACGCTCCCACCGCTGGTTGGTGATGTTTGGTGCCAGTGGTCGCAATTGCCCAACCCATGTCAGGGCCCTTGGCATAGGAGAAAAAAATCCATGCAAGCAGCAGAGACTCGTTGTGCCCTCACAGTCTAAACGTCCAATACATTCCAAGATCATGTGATCTTTGGTTCTGAGTACTGACAAAAAATGAGTGGTTGACTGTCTGCCCATTTTGGTTGACTGTAGTGAACAAGCATATGTAAATTGGCATACTCCATCATTGATGCCCAATTATAATACTCTGGTTTCCGATTCAGTTTCAGATGCCAATTGGCTTGTTGTATGCACATATTATACATAATTATTATACACATAGCTGACCATATTCAATATCACCCACTTGTTTTTGATTTCTGGGATTTGTTGATCAATTCACATTCACCGGACCATGAGTTTCTGCTGCCAGTTTCTGCTGAGTCATGCGCAAGATGACCCGTGGCTTTTTGAAGCCACGCAGCTGACCCGGTATCCCGGGTATGTGAACACCAAACATTTTGAACCCCTTTCCCCTGATATTAAACGTAACCCAAATGACACCCTGGTCAGAAAACTGGATCTGGTTATTTTTTAGGGCCCACTTAGAAGTTTATTTCATATCAGGTGGATGGGGTTCTTGAGTATGGCTCTGACTTCAATGATTGAAACTTGAGTTACTGAGTTACTGGATGGTTTCATAGCCGATGCGCAAATTTTCATGGTGCCGGTGGACCACAGTTGGAGCCAAAGTCATTGCTGCTGAAGTTTCTCTGGGAAACCGGTTCGGGGATGGATCAAAACATATCAAACCCCGTGAAAAGCCTTACTTGGGAGGGGAAAAACACATGGATGGTCCCCAGGGTTTTGACGTTTTGACCCATACCCATTTCATCTTGATCTCCAAAGTTTCCATGATTCCTGAATTTGGGAAAGTTGAGATACCAGAGATGTTGCGTGAGCCATTCTGACTTGAGATATTCATGATGTTGAGGATTTCCTATGACTTCCTTGGGAAATTCAGGATGCCTTCATGGCTTGCCTGAACCAGGCAAAAGACATGACTTTTTTGGAGATCCAGCTGAGACTTATCCAAGCTCATGCCTGGACTTTGGCGGTGATCAGAAGCATCGTTGGCGTTCGTTGACCCGTTGGCGAAAAGGGGTGTTTTAGCCATTGGTGAAGATCTCGCTCCACAGGCGAGCTAGGGCCCTAGGGAACATGTCAGCATAAAGCGGCCGGCCACTTTCTGTTGCTATCTGTTTCGCTTGGTTTTCTTGGGAATCATGCGGATTCCAGGGAAGATGAAAGCCTGATATGGAGCTTTCCCAAGTAGGGCTACCCCCAGTTATTATCTATTAAACAATAATGATTTTCCATAAATCATCCATGTTTGATCATTTTTGGGTATCCCCATGACTATGGAAAGCCCCATGACTTCTTTGTGCCATGGCCTCAAGTTGGAATATCTACCCTTTGGGAGACGACCAGCCCCTAAAAACCCACAGATAGCTGGGATCATCCCTGGTTTTTTGGCAGACGCGTTGTGCCATATTTTTACTTCACTCGAAAACTAACGAAAACTTCACTCATTTGTGGTTTATGCAACCCATATTTTTTTGGGGGTGTTTGTTTTTTTTGGGGATGACCAGCCCCAAAATGTCACAAAAAAGTCACTGTTTTCTGCGAAAGTTCAAAGAAGTCACTGGTCCATTGGTTTCATACTAAAGATGACCAGGAGTGTCCAAAGGGTCACATGGCTTGACCCAATTTCACAATATTTCACATAGTGCCAACTTGGGGGCGATGTGGAATTTCACGGGCTTTGTCGCTTTGTCCGAAACTAGGGGGTAAGGCTTTAACTATCTTTAACTTGCCGCATTGCCATGGTTTTAACAACCATGGGCCGGAATGGGGTTCTCGGTTTTCCCCAAAGTTACCATATGGTACTGGTACCATACTCTAAACATAACATGGATGTGGAAAAACCACCATTTCCTGGGGGAAACCATGGGGTTTTCCACATCTAAACGTTTACGGTGGAGGCTGCAGGCGCTGAAGATCACCATCCATCATTCTCCTCCATTTTTATCCATCTTTTTTGGCACGTTTTCTCAGTAGCCCCCAAGAAGATAGACATTTCAGAAAAGCTCCAACTTATCACTATTTTACGAGGTTTTACGAGCATTTTACCTTTCTATCTCCTTGGGGGTTGGTATTTTCATCTGGTTGGTGGTTTGGACCATGAATTTTATTTTTCCATATATTGGGAATTTCATCATCCCAACTGACTTCAACTCCATGATTTTTCAGAGGGGTAAGGCTCAACCACCAACCAGATCATCCATTTCTCCGTGATTCACTTGTTGCAACTGGTGTTTTTTCAGGTCATGATTCCCGCTTTAGCTAGCCCAAAGGTGGACTTCCGAAAAATCTCCCTTTCTTTGCAATCCCATGGTCGTCACCTCTGACTAAGGTCCATGATGGGATGCTGTGTCGACTTGGTCATTGTCTTAGCGCAGCACAGCGCTGACCCCAACGTGCCTTGGGTTTTCGGCAGGTGACGGGAAGGGACCGACCTGGGATTTTTGTTGGTGGATGTAACACATAAAATGGAGAGATCATGGAGATGTAAGGGAGATATGATACGATATATATATAATATATATATAATTATATATATATATAATATTATATATATATATATATAATATTATATATATAATATTATATATATAATTATATATATATATATATATATCTATAGTACATATCTATATACAACCAGCCGTTTTGTGATTGCGTTTGTCCAGAAATGGGAATTTACCCCGTGCACAATAGCGAAAATGATCGTCAACCACTGGTGTTGGGGATATGCCCCACATTGCAGGATTCTACTCACGATACATCGATACTCACAACCCCAAGAAGAGCAAATCATAGACAGGGACTCAACCCTGTCTTCCGGGCCCTATGTTGAAATGTCCACCGCCACGTTTTTTTTTTTATGTGGGACGTCGGGAAGGTACCTACCTTTTGTTTGCGGATTTAACAAACAAAAGGGAGAGATAATGGAGATATAAGTAAGTGAACTCTAATATGATCATGCATAATATATCACTATAGCCAGCAGTTTTGTCCTTTGCGTTTTCCCAAAAATGGGCGAACTTACCCTATGCAATTTTAATAGAAAATGATGGCAACCGCTGGTGTTTGGGGTACGTTCCACATTGTAGGATTCTACCCACGAGACTGTGATACTCACAACCCCAAGAAAAACAAATCACAGACAGGGCCTCAACCCTGTCTTGGGAGCCCTCAAACTGTCCACTGCCACAGTTTTTTAAAAACATGCCTTCGAGAAAATGGATATTTGACATCGTCAATATGCCAGGAACTTAGCAAATGAAACTCAACAGGAAGGCTCAGAGGCTCAGAGGCTCAGAGGCTCAGGGCATTGCATTCCATTGTCTGCTGGCCACATGTCTGCTAAACGTAGCCCCAAAAAAAGAGATGTTACTGGCCGACGACTTCATCCCAACTTTCCAATCGTTCTACTGAGGATGGCTCAGCTGAAATTGCTCTTTATTGTCTCCCCATTTTTTTTGGACATAAGCCCACTGTACCAGCCCATTTTTTGTGCCAAATATCCGATATCTTCGTACTTGTTGATAGGACTGATATCTTTTATTATCTTTTTATGCTTGGTGATCTCCCCACAAGCTTTGGTGCCGACATTATCTACATTCCAAGTACTGTAAATGTCGCTACCCGGGTACCCTCGTTAAAACAGATGAAAACGGAGGATTCTAGGCACGTCGGAAAATGGCTCAGGTTCTGAACGAATGCTCCGAGGCGAAGTTGGCAAAGTGGGACAGGGCCAGAAATGGTGTGGCCCGAGGCATTTCCAAATTCTGGTGTTTGTCCCTGTATTTTGGGAAAAAGATGTTTTTTTTTTTTTTCAGATGACACCTTTTTTTATCCTGATCAAAATATCTGTGCGGGGTGATATCTGTACCTGATTGGGATGAAACGAGTGTACTAATTATTTGTTGTTCCGAGATCATAAACTTACTGGTGCATTGCTAAACGTAGGGTTGCTGGATGATGGGTTGCTGGGAGAATGGGATGATAAAATTACTAGTGACTTAGTGATAAATGGGATGATTACTGGTGGGATATGATGATTTACTAGTGATTTACCCGAAAAAAATCCTGCAAAATCCCAGTAAATCACATTTATTCATGGGATGATGACTAGTGATTTACCCTCTGGTGAACTAACATAGCAATGGAAAATCACCATTTTTAATGGGAAAATCCACTATAAATGGCCATTTTCCATTGCTATGTTAGTTCACCAGAGGGTACTAGTGATTTACCAGTGATGACTGGGATCATTCCCGAAAATTGGCCATGCCTTGGCGCAGCACCAGGTCCTGGATCACCTGCATCTGCAGGGCGACCAGGTGCGTCACGCTTTGGAGGCTGCGCTGGCGGGCGGCCTGGGGGCGGGTGAACGCCTGCTGTCCGCGGCGCGGGGGAACAACTTCCAGGCCGTGGGGCCTTGGGATGTTGGGGGGACCGAATTTTGGGAGAAACCATGAGAAACCAATAATAATCATAGTTTCTCCCAAAAATTCATGATACTACTAAATGATAGATGATAATAGATATAATAGTTTCTAATAATCATTATAATTCATTACTAATCATATTAATGAGAATAATAATGATACATGATACATACTACATGATACATGATACATGATACATGATACATGATACATGATACTACTACTACTACTACTAATAATAATCATCATCATGGGTTGGTTTGAAAGTACGATGCTGTCACAAATTTCATGAACCAGTGAGAAAATCGTCTGTCAGACTGACAGACATGATTTTTTTCCGAGGGGACAGCCATTTCTATGCCCTCCAGTTATTTAAGGTAGCTATGGAAGCCATGGCCCATTTAGTTCAATGATAAAAATGATGATCTTTCCCATGTGGTTGGGCTCGCTGGCTCGGCAGTGAGGTAAACGTGATCCACGCAGTGAGGTAAACTTTGCCAATAAAGATGGCTATAGCCAGCAAAATATGGGGTAGTTTACTAAGATCTTTTTGACTCTTTTTGTTTCCACGATTTTTTTTCCCAAACATAGGATAGCCGAAAACCCGGGTCATCATGTTCTCTATTTTGATATGTAGCTGCAGAAATTGAGGCTGGACGATCATCCATCTCAGGAGCATCATATCTTTGGTAAATAGCTGATCAATGGCAACTTCAGGGACCTTGTTTATGATGGTACCTACCATAAGGCCTGTTTTTCAGGTCTAAATTTCAGGGAATATCCCCAGAAAATGTTGCCTTATATTTGTAGTACATTACTACAATACCGTAACATTTAGGGTCCTGAAATTCCCCAGTGACCTATGGACCAATGCCGTGCGCCGGCGCGGCCCGGTTCGATTTTTGAGGTCGTAAAAGCGGAGTTGGATGTTGGAGCACAAGTGAACAGCAACTCGACGAGTTGTGGATGGCATCTGGGAAAATCTGTTGAGTAGGTGACATTTTCTTAATAGAAATAGACATGGCTCAACGAGTTTTTTTACTGGCGGTTGATAGCTGTATAGATTTGTATCCCGAGATTGGCGATGTCGTTTGATCAAAAGTTTAGCCTGACATGACGCACCTTTTGAGTTGTCTCTAGGATTACTACCAAGACACGGAGACATCTTCATTGAGATATAAATGACATGACGATGATACAACAGAATCCGAAGAACAGGCACATCGCATCACCTTTCACTGGAATAGTAGGGACATAACAGTATGAATATTTGAAGATATACAGCAATGCACGTGGACGGGTCAACATTACACTTGAGACTTGGGTGGATAAACGTTCCAGCAATCCAAAACACGTTTACCATTCTTGCAGGATGGGTGTTAGGTGACCCTCCCATCTTGCCCAGTCATCCCCAGCACACGTTTTGATTGGCTGTATTCTAATGCTCGCATATGTTCGCTGCGTCTCTCAGCAAGATACTGGGGGTAAATACAGCCATTCCGACATTCCCAAAAGACAAAAACTCAGTGTGTCCCAAGGTCTTGACAAAATTGACCCTTTCATGTCACTGCTTGGTGGTTTTAAACATTGTTTATTTTCCATTTCATATATGGGATGTCATCCCTCCCATTGACTTTCACTCCATCATTTTTCAGAGGGGTAGGGCTCAACCACCCTTTCATGTCAGGTTTCAATTGCTGAAATCTACAGTTATGGCCATATATGAGTTATAACTGTTATAACTGGTTATAAGTGGGATTATACATGTTATAAATGGGGCCATAACTGTAGATGTTCATTTCTCAGCTCCAACATTTGCTGGTCAAAATCCAGATCTTCGGTGCTCCAGATTTTCTCGGTGACCGATGCCCCCATTTGAGGCCAGACCACAGAGCAGCTCTTCACTTCGTTGATCTTCGCTGCAGCTCACTGCAATTACCAGGCGGGACACGTTTTTTTACCAGGATGGCCCAGATCATCCCTAAAAAGATACTGATTTACCACTAGTTTGTTCATGTTTGTTCTATATATATGTTGAGACTATCCTAATACCTGTAACAGTCAAAAAAAGGGATTTCCACATAGGGACCCCCCCAAAAGGTGCACAAAGCAAATGGTTAGTTATTAGTTTGTTCTATATATGGTAAAAACACTCCTCTACAACCATCTTAAGGTGAACTAGTCGACAAGCTCACAGGTCCACAATCACCTTATGAGGGCGTCCAAAGGATACGTCGACACCTGACGGGCCTGCGCGTCACGCAGGGTGCTACAATGCTCATCGGACGCAAAGCCAATGTGCACTTGACCGATCTGACAGGTGGGGGCTAGGTGGATAAGCCCATATGCGAACCATGGTGCTGGAATATGACTCCCAACATTTGCCCAAAAAATCATCCAAATGTAGGTAAATATACCAGCACCATGGAGCATATGGGAAGGACCTGGGTGAAAAACATCATCCAGTTGTGAATGGAGGGAGCAGTGAAGGGAGCCATGTATCGAAAAAAAAAGAACAAGTGGTCGTGGAGAGCAATTGCCATGGGTTTTTCGTGAAACAGACGGGATATAACTTGATATACCCTCTGGTAAACTAACATAACTATGGAAAATCACCATTTTCAATGGGTAAATCCACTAGAAATTGCCATTTTCAATAGCTATGTTAAATTACCAGAGGGTAACACTGATATAACACTGATATAACACTGATATAACTCATCCGTTCGGCCAAAGACCAAACACCGCTCCTGTGTGGCTGTCTGGTTTAGTATTAGAACGCTTCATGATTATGGGTCCTACAAAGTTCGGTCAGGTTCAGGGAAAATGGGATCCATCACCTCAATAACTGGAGCGCCGTTTTAGCCGTGGAACATCACCATTTTCAAGAAAACATCGAACTCAATCGGGGCCATTTCTGATTGGTATGTTCATGTACCGGAGGATACAAGCCCGAACAAGATGTAGAAAAGGTCCGATTTCAGGCTTGGATTTTGGCCAACTTATGCATCGTTTTGGGGACCGGCTAGATCTCGTCATTGTTTGAAGCGCCGGGTTGGGCTTTTTTTTTTCCAGGATGGTCCGCCCTGCACTATGCCGTGCAGTCCGGAAGTTTGGAGATGGCGCTTTGGATGCAGATGCCATGGGGATTTTTGGGGCGAAGTCTGCAGAACATGATGATAACCCATGGGATGTTTTTGGGCGGGGGATGTCTGATGGAATTGAATGGGATACTTTTTACTTTGATGGATTTGATGGGATTTGGATGGGATTTGGATGGGTTTTGGCTCGATCTTTGATGGGATTTCATGGGAATTCATAGCAATTCTAGTGTGGACAATAGGGATGAACATGGATTTACGAACAAAAAAACACATTCGGGATTTACCACCTACAATAATTACCCATATTCAATGGGATATACTTGGAAACAATGGAATATAAAGGATGTTAATCAATCATTCTGTGATTATATGGTACGCTTTTTTTCCCAAGAATATGGGGTATATCAGTATATGGCTGTGTCATGCTGTGTCTATGAATGGGTTTCTATTTCTGCCCTCTGACGGCCATGTTGAGACCATTTTGATGGGCCAAGACCTTCATTTTCCACCATGTTCATCATGTTCCATCAAGCTCTAAGGCATTCCCCCTTGCATTTTCCATGACTTTCCAAGGCTTGATTTCTGCGTGAAAAACGGGGGTCGGTTTTCGTTGCTGAGGTTTCCATGCTCTCAGCTGCCAAAGCGAACTTGGCCCGAAGCTTAGGGTTAGCCTCTGGAAGTTTCACCTTTCTGGTTCCAAAATCCTACCCAACCGGGTTATGACATTGCCAGTTCGCCATGGGATAGATGACCCTAATCGAAATAGATGGTTTACCAAAAAAAAACATGGTGATTTTCCATGGCGAACTGTTAAATAACCAGATGGTAATTTTTTTGGGGAAACAGGATGACATGTGGTACAAGCATCCAGTTTCATGCGTGATTTTCCAGCAAGCCAGGTGAAAAGAGAGTGTAACTAAGCCCAGGGGGTTAAGATGACCATAATTTGGAGACTAACAATTGAAATATAAGTGTAAATGTGCAGACATGGAGACACGTATATACTTGATTATAGATAGGCTGGGGGTAGATAACTACCGATGATTATACATATGATACATGGACATATAAATCATATAAATGATGGTTACACCTGCTATACCTAATCTAATCATGCGTATATCATACTTATATCTCTATTTATAGATGAATGGAATGTCTTTTCAAGGAACAATTTTAGGAACCCATTTCTTCTTTCTTCCCATGGTAAGATTGAATGGATTGGAACAGAATTTTCCCTTCAGCTGGGAGAACGAATACCGAGGGGATAGGAGTCACAAATGCTGGAGTTGACCTTGCTACGGATTACCGGTATACTAAGTATCAATTGAATCATCCCATCCAACAATCCAGCTGGGGGTCATAACATCCCCAAAAAACTACGGGTATACCCAATCATGAGCCCCTATTTTTCTGGGTTACCATTGGGTTACCACAAGATTTGCTCGTAAATTCATGGGACTTCTCATGGTCTGAAAGAAGGTGTGTGGAGCAGTAGACAATCCAACTCAAGTAGTGGTCATATCATGTCATATCCCTTTTCTGACCTTTTCTGCATCTTTTGGGAGTAACTGTAGATTGGATTTTACATTGAATATATCTGTATATATAATATTATATGTTTCTTGAGCACTTTAGAGCCGATATCCCCTCCATTCTCCTTTTTCAACTTGTAGGACCTGCAACTTTCACAGACCCTGAGACTTGCCAAAAATTGGATGATACGCGGGCAACCCATTTATTTTGCCCCCCAAATCAATCCATACAGAGTCATATTTGTTTGTGAACATCACATATTATATAATTATATAGCGTAACTTTTTGGTACAAGGTAGTGCACCCTAGTTGTAAGTTGGTTTATACACCCCATGAATACTATGGATATATATATATATTATATCTACCATAAACCATAGAATTCACCGAAGGTGAAGTAAACCAACTTAGCTATCGTTCCAGGTGGCCCTTTATGGGTGTGAAATCCCATTGAATCCTCAGAATATCACCATCAAACCACCAATATTCCCTCCTGACATCCCCATGAAATCCCCCCGAAATCGCTCACCACTCAGGCGCAGCCAACCTTTGATGGTACAACCACCATGCACCTGGCTGTGATCCTGGCTTTGTTCGTCCGCGAAGAGTGGGTTTGCTTACGGTGGGTTGTTCTTTTCCCAATGGGAAATCCACCACTTGGAGAATATATACATATTCCACCGCTTGGAGAATATACCTATATATATATATACATAGGGAATATATGTTAATGGCTATTTATTGAGATTTAATGATTATTTAACGGGATTCTAATGAGATTTACCGGGATTCTAATGGGCATCTATGTATATAATTGTGTATACATATATATATTTATACATACAATGGTGATTGAATGATTTAATGGCAACCTTTGATTTGATGAAGATGATTGGTTATTTTCCTAATTGGACATTTAGTGAATCGATCAATGGAATCTATTTTGGCGGGTTACTTTTGCGAAACTCCAAGCAGAGGTGGGTCTTCGAAACAGCACAAGGTGGAAAACGCTTAAAAGTTTCTATATCAACGCCCCCCAAAGGTAGAACTATAGGTAACATTTGGTTATTTAACATAGCCATGGAAAATCACCATTTTTAATAGGTAAACCATCTATAAATGGGCCATTTCCCATGGCGAACTGTTAAATAACCAGAGGGTAACATATGCTGAACGAGTGATCATTGTAACATGCTGTTCTATCCCTTTTTTGGCGAAATCGTGCTATGCCCTATGCCAATTAAAACGGTGGTCAATGAGAGCAAATAATCGGATGCTAAACGGATGCTAAACGGATGCCTGCACCTCCCCAGCAGTTTTTGGGTCTCAACAGTTTGCCGTTTTGATGGGACCAAACCATAAGAAATTGGATCTTTGCCCCTTATTGTCTCACTGCGGCCTGTGGAACCACCGTTGTATGAAGGATGTCTTGTGGTCATGCTGAGCAATGGGCTAACGCTTGGAGACCACCTCATTTTCAATTATTTTTAGGACGTGAAACCCAAAAAAACGTTCAGTTGATCCTAGAGCGATGCCTCAAAGTTGCTACCCTCTGGTAAACTAACATAGCTATTGAAAATGGCCATTTATAGTGGATATTCCCATTGAAAATGGTGATTTTCCATAGCTATGTTAAATTACCAGAGGGTAATGGTTAATGATAGGTGGCAACGTCTTGTCACTAACCAGCAGGAATTTGCCAACAGGTTGATGTGGTCATGCCACTTTCTGGTTTGGGTTTGTCTCAGAATTTGGTATCCCTCACATCCAATATAATATGATATGATATGATGATTTTCTAGCTATTGACATTGCCACAAGCTAGGGTATCCGTATTATAGATTGTATATAGTATAATATGTATAATTTGAGTACAATACTGTATATATATATATAAATACATACACATATTATACTATATTATCTTATATATACATAGCAATATATAGAATATATATATATTAAAAAAGAACACAAAAATATCATGATACGTCGTTACATTCCGTCTTCATCGCCAGGCCAAGACAGGTCTGGGTGCCATGGTCCCTTGGTCCAACTTGGAGTCCAAATTAGTTGTGCAAAAATTTACCCATGATCAATGGATTGGTTTAATCCCAATGGGTAGTATATGGTTAATGAATGTGTTAATCATACTAATATGATATTATATATGTACTGTATATATGTATCAATGGATTGGTTTGTTGGGGAAAATTGAAACAGGATAGAGCCCCAGATATTTAATGGGAAAATCGGAAAGGTTTCCGGTGAAGATTTTCCCCAACAAACCAATCCATTGACATGACAAAGAGAAGTAACATAGCGATGGAAAATTTTACACTAGAAACTACACTACTGTAGTTGAAAATACAGCCTCATAGTTGTACACTAAGTAAGAGTTTGCTATGGAAAATGATGATGATTTGCCTATGAACAAATCATGGTGATTTTCTATAACTATATTGGTTTACCAGAGGGTAACGGGATTATAAGAATGATTGTAATCGGATTAATGAGAACATATAGGAACATCCACAATAAATCGCAGTTTGAATGGAATTTCATGTGTACCCTTCTGAAACTAACATAGATGTGGAAAACCTACCATTTGTTGAAATTTTCCCAATGGGAAACCATGGGTTGTCCACATCTATATGAATTTACCCAGGGTAATAGAGTTTACATGAGTTTGCAAACCAACCGCATCATGAGGTATAGTAAGGATTAGTAAGGGATATAGCCAACAATTTGATTTGGATTTGTCTGAAAATCAAATTGTTAGTAATTATTCCCCGAAAAAATGCCATAGAAAATGTTGAAACTACTGATGACCCATCAAATTTTGGGGTGCTCGCCGCACATGTCATAGTCAAAAAAGTGGAGTTATAACCAACCATTTTGTGGAGATATAAATGGTCAATATTTTCTAGGATATCACATAGCATTTTTTTTCAAATGGTACTGTGAGATTTTTCGCGATTCAGAAATGGGGGACCCCTCTGGGGACCCCTCTGGGGACCCCTCTGGGGACCCTGATGAAAAGTGGGAAATCCCCATGGGCTGGAGGATGCCATCCAATGGGGAAAGTTGAAACATGGCTGGAAATCCTCCACGCAAATAGAGGTTTTTTGTAGCTGAGAAAAACATCGAACATTTTTGAAAATGTGGGGTTTTGGGGTTTTCCAACTAGCCATGTTTGATGACAGCGGAAGGTAGAGTGAGAATGCCAATGGGTAAAAAAAACACACGGAGAAATGGTAGAAATGGCAAACATCTGATCAAACATATATGATGAAACCATATCAAAACCATGCTCTTGAGACCATGGAGCAGAATGAATTTCGGGGACCGCCTCGTGGGGAACCCCAAGTCCCACGACAACATCGTTCCCTGCGGGGTCCCAGGTTCAGCTTCTCTATGCCGGCAAGTTTGGAGCCCAGCGACGTTGCCATTCTGCATGGAGGGATTTTCCCAGCACCGCAAGTTCGGATGGGGCTAAAGTGACTGGTGAAAGGTAGGATATGGTGAAGATGGGGGGATTTTTAGGAGGCTGTGAACAAGGATAAGTTATGACATTCCCTGCAACAAACAAGTGAGGTTCGCATCTATAGGATTATCCATAGACCGGGCACATGTTCTTGGATGCCTTGGGAACCACCAACCGTCCCGGAATTGATTTTAAGTACACTCTGGTAGTTTAACATAGCTATGAACAACCACCATCTTTAGTGGGTAAATCATCTCAAATTGGGCCGTTTTCCATATCTCATATCTACTTTTTTTTTGCTGGATATTGCAGCATCATGCCTTAATTCCAATAAACTTCCTATTGTATTCATCAAACCTCCATGTCTGTATCGTGTATCTTTGGTGGATTCCGACGTCGCATCGAGTTGTCTTGCCTCAGGGTTGAGCTGAACACCATCAACGCCAAGGGCGTTGCGCCAACGCAGGAAGCGGCCAGGCAGGTAGGGAAGCGCCGTGTTTTTTGGCACCACCAGGCAGCCGAAATTGGAATTTGTCTGGGATTTTGATACAACCCATTCTGGAAAAAATATTAGGAATAGCCATGTCTATACCTATATATATATAATATATATATGCATACACGTATATCAGTATATCATGTATGTATATTGTTTATATCATAGTAGAAAACAGCTATACCTAGCTGGCTTTCAGTTCACGATCAGCAACCTGGCTATACCTAGCTGGTCGTTTGAAGGTTAGTTATTACTCAAACGGTACACCACTAGTGAAAATGGCTGGGTTTCAAGACTTGCCTGATCTTGCCTGCCAACCTTTACGGGATTCGACATGATTCGACCATTTCTACCCAAACAAGAAGAAAAACATACAAAAACCATGGAATCTTCAACCTCAGGCTTTCCTCATCTACCCCAATCATGCGACCATGGGAACCGAGCCGAGCTCGCAGGTGGGGCTGTGCCGAATCTCTTCAGGCCTGGGAATGGACCAAAGCAGCTTGGGACAGGTTCCAAGAGATCTTTCAAAAGCCATGATGGAGAAATCCTAAGTCCTAGGGCTACCCCTAAATCATCCAAGTCAGTAGACCATATTATAACTATGATGATCTATATATATATATATATTGTGGGCCAAGCTGTGCGCAACGCACTATGGCCAACACATTGGAGCAGATTTTGCGGGGTGAACAGATGGACAATGGGAGTTTGCACAGGCCGCTGCGAGAGCAACTGGTAGCCGTAAGGAAAAAAATATATATAATTATGGGATATTGATGGCTTAGGCCCTTAGGCTTACATTAATGGTGATCCTGACCAGTTACTGTAGGGTATCAGCCAACTTAGTATTGAACCAAACCTGGGGGATCCTCCAGGGAAGACGAGCACCGCCGTGGCCATTCAGGTGCTGTTGGCGTATCGCGCCAATCCGCGAGTGTTTGGGAGCCAAGACTGGCCGCTGGCTGCGTGTCAGACGTTACATTTGAGAGCAAGCAATGACTTTCGTAGATTTAACATGATTTAACATGATTTAACATTATTTAACTATATAGTATCACATGTTTCCAGGGATTTATGAATACCGTTTGAGAACAAGCAATGACTTTCGTAGATTTAACGTAACCGTAGGATTTGGTTTGATTTGAGAATCATTTTCTTTAAGGATTCTATATATGTTTCAAGAGTTATTGGGATTGAGGTGACCAGTACAACAAGCAATGCTTGTTTTACAGCCGGTGTATTGAGATCCTTGAATCCGTGATTGGGGAGCCAGGGCTCCCAGGACCCAATGAACAGGCTCCCAGTTTGAGAGGGTTAGAGATCCACATTTGAGGTTCGCCGCGGCCCCGTTTTCATGGGATTTTTAAAATCCCGTGTTTTCCTTGGTAACTTTCCATGTTTGATCGGTAAGTTCCCCAAGTTCATGCGTGACATCACTGTTTTTGTTGCTGGTTTATAGTTAAATCCCCATCTCAAATGTTTTTAGACCACATCTGGTTGGTGGTTTGGAACATTTTCTATTTTTCCATATATTAGGAATAATACTCCCAACGCACTCATATTTTTCAGAGGGTTAGGCTCAACCACCAACCAGACATGTCCACTGGCTGTCCCCCTGATCCTTGGGGCCCATCAAGGAAAGATCACAAGGGCCGTTCTCTCCTGGCCATCTCTGTGGTTGGGATGCCCTGGCCATTTTTTTGACGGAAGAGTACAGGATGGGGCCCCCAGTTATGCTTGTTGGTTTATAAACCAATATAACCTCCATTAACTATAGTTATATCTACCATAAACCATAGCTAAGCCACTTATAAGGCAACTTAGCTTCTTGGGGGCCCCATCCTGTAGGCTTTGGGGTCGTCGAAAACGTTCGGTCAGCTCGGTGGAAATGGCGATTAGGTTTTATCATAGCCCCGTATCTCAGTGGAAATACATAGCTGGTTGGTGGTTTGGAACACGAATTTTATGACTTTCCGAAAATATTGGGAATTTCATCATCCCAACTGTTACTCAGTCCATGATTTTTCAGAGGGGTAGGGGTAGGCTCAACCACCAACCAGATAGAGTACTTAAATTACTTGATATGGCTATGGATCAATACCTATAGATACATTTTTAGTGGGATGAACATCCATTTACCAGCTATTTTGGGGTTCACTAGGTTTTGACCCATCCCCAAATTACTTGATATCAGAATTCCATTGGGATGACAATGTTCCAATCCAGTGAGCCCCATGTCAGCGAGTACACCCCATCCTTCGGCAGAGTTCCTTCGGCAGAGTGGATTCTCGATGATAGGATTGGAATTTTGAGACCGGAGGTCCAGTTGTCAGCGTGACAAAACCATGATACAAAACCTTTAACTACATAATACATTATACTTATTCACATGATACATTACGTATCATATATATATAATATATATATATAAATATGTGATATATATATACATCTTCCGGTTGAACTTCCACAGTTGAGGTTTACTGACACTTTGATTTTGAAGAGTCTTTCTTCAATCATATTAGCCACAATTTTCAGGTGGTTCAGTTCACCATTTTCCTTCGTTAACTTCCCCAAAAATCAGCATATTTTTTAAACAAAACTAGGAGAAAAAACTTTAAACTCATCATTTATTCCTGGTGAAATGGCAAAAAAAGACATGGAACATCACCATATCTTCAATTATCTTCAATATATCTCCCTTATAAAGTCACAATGTTTCCCAACATTTCCTCATTTTTTCTCATGTTTCCACATTTTTCCTGGTGAAAACGGCCCCCGTTGCAGCCCCGGGCCCCCGGGGTCCCAAGGCCGCGGGGCGCAACGATGTGGTCAGCGCGCTGCTGCGGCCGCTGCCGGATCCTGTGCAGCTGGTGCCACCGGAGAATGAGAAGGTGCCAGCCGGGGTAACATATTAATGATCAACAGTGTATAAAATGGATGGATATATTCATGTATATATATACACATAGACATACATACTGTATATATATATATATGTATATTTATACATATATTCTAATATATGATATATTAGATGATATATTATACACTATTATATAGTAAACATTTAGCTCGGGGCCAACTCATTAGATCATTACAGGGGTTGTTTTTACGGCAACAGAGTCGGGATGATGGAATAGTTTTGGGATGATACAGTAGGCGGATAAGTTTGGCCACAGATCCATCATTAACAGTATACCCTCTGGTAAACATACAAAAAAACTATGGAAAATCACAATTTTTAATGGGAAAACTCACTATTTCTATGGCCATGTTCAATAGCTATGTTAAATTACCAGAGGGTAACTGGAGATAAGTTTGGCATACAGTATGGGATGATTATAGTATCTCGGATACTATTTGGAGATCATTGGTGGATTGAGATTGAAGACCATAGATCATCATAGATCCAAGATGAAGTGTGAAATTGAGATAGGTTACAACCAGCCACCAGTCAATAATTGGGATATAAAAAGCACCCCGGTGAGAAATCGGGCTTCTACAAAGGAATCGTTGGGATAGTTGGTGAATAGCAACATCGTTAGTACACCCAGTTAGCGGGCGATTCTGCTGGATTCTGGTAGCTGGGAACTCCCTGAAAAATGGATGTTTCTGTGGGAGAGTCATCTATAAATGGTAGACTTTTACCATTTTGAGGACTGATCTCCAGAGGGCAAGCATTTCTTCCCCACTTGCCAGGTGATGGTCTCTAGATTTGGACAAAGGTGCAACTCCCTTCCTCACTCCATGACTCCTTCCCTGACTACCTCACTCCTTCCTTCCTGTCAGAATAAATATCAGACAGAATGCCAGGAAGAATGCTAGATAGAACGTCAGAACATATGTCAGATAGAATGCCCGAAAAAAGGTCAGACAGAATGTCAGAATAGATGCCAGATAGAATGTCCGAATAGATGCCAGATAGAATGTCTGAAAATATGCCAGCAAGTATGTCAGATAGAATGTCAATATATATATATATATATTTGCCATATTTGCTTTCAGATGGTATGGCAGAACCTATGTCAGAATATTGGGTGTCAGGGTGGGGATCACTCGAAGTAAAGTATTTCTCCTAGTATTGTCTTCACGGTTGTCAAGGACATGGCCATGTTTTGCTACCAAGCAATCGAACATGTTTCGAACTCCGTCCATTTTCTCGGAGGCCCAGATTTTTGACCACCGGTAAAAAAAAGAGACTCTGTCGAGACAGTGGTGTTTCAGTGATGGAGATGTTTGTTCAAACAATATCCCGAACTGGCTGCTGGTGAACTCAATTCTTTCCATCCTGCACGGTGAGAACTTCGCTAGGATGATCCACGAGTTTTTTCGTCGTGTTGAACAGGGATGGATTTCAACCACCAACTCGACAATCAATGGATTGGTTTAAGGGAAAATCTACAGGAAACCGTAGATTTTCCCATTAAATATGGGGCTTTCCTGTAAATTTTCCCTTAAACCAATCCATTGAGACAAAATGCTGATGCCAGCACCAGAATTGTTGTGATTCCACCTGCCAACGTCTTTGCAGACCTATGTCACCGCCAAGGGGAACGCCCGGGGTTTCAGCGGGGGCCGATCGGGTGTTTCCTGACCTTGGGCTGGGAAATTTACTACATATATCACATATTTCAGCAGATATCCAAGTATCAGTCTCGGGACGAAGGGGATCCTCACATGTACTGACCAAAATTTGTATGTTCTGACGGATTCTAACATTTGTCCAGTGAAAACCTAGTTCTATTTTCAAGTTTAAGGATGCCCTTCCCAGAGGTACCCCCAACAATCAAGGCCAAACATTTTTCAGGGTGATTCACCATCAACACCATCAGGGTGTGACCTTTGGGGCTGTGGGGGGAGGACCCTGTGAACTCCCATGATACATTGGTTGCAAGATACAAATCTTTCGCGCTGAATGCCCAACTCTTCTAGGGTCAATGCACCACGTTTGCTGGCTGTTTGGTGGTTTGGAACATGAATTTCATTTTCCATTTCATATATGGGATGTCATCCTTCCCATTGACGATGACTCATATTTTTCAAGATGGTTTTTTAACCACCAACCAGCTGGCACCATGGAGGTTGCCCTAGTCAACTTGGGAATGATCCAAGGGTTTCCAACAGTCCAACAAGGGGGACCTGTCCTCTTCCTGGTGCGATTCGTCGGCTGTTTGATACACCCATGGAGTCTGTGGTTGGCAGTTTGAGCTTCTGAAGCTCTGGCCTTTTGACTTTTCCGATGGTTGGCATCATCCGATGGTTCCCGATGGTTGGCACTTTGGAATTCCAGGAACCATCTTTCAAAGTTGTAGATGTTATTTTCTGATAGAACAAAGAAGCTGGGCTTAGAAGAAATACTGACGAACCCTGGCCTCAGGAATGGTCATGTTCACATTCCCTATGAAATTTCTAAGATGCTGGGATTGATCCCGCAACCAATTCGTAGCAGTGCTAAGGCCACGCATGAGAACAAGGACCTGATGGCGAAGGCGCCAAAACAATGGGATGATATCACAACAAACTTCAGCTGGAAACTTCAATGAGCAGCAATCAAACCGTATAGAAATGATATGAACATGTTGTAACATAGGGGTTCAATGCTGCTGTATTGGTGTTTCATTGCCTTTTGTTGAAAAATATCATTGAGTCATTGAGGTTAAATGTCATAAATGTCATTCGTCGGAAACATTAATATACTTAGGGATTCTTGGATTTTTTTTGTTAAACTTAGATGAAACCTCCACAATGAAATCAATGAGGATGTTTGATACATCCATTTTTCCAATTTTTTTCCAACAAATCACCGACTGCCAAAAATGAAATCCATTTTTGGATGTTTCATCAACTTTTTCCCATGGTTTTTCCCCATGTTAAACTTAGAAGAAATTCCACAATGACCATGGCTGGTCGGTGGTTTGGAACATTAATTTTATTTTCCCATATATTATATATTGGAACATTCATCATCCCAACTGTTACTCACTCCATCATTTTTCAGAGGGGTAGGGCTCTACCACCAACCATATATATATAATATACATAATATGTATATTATATATATATATAAAGATTAATACTATTGTCATTGTGGAATACATATGATATGTATTCCACAATGACAATAGTATTAATCTTTATATGATATCATACGATAACCAAATGTTTTTCCAAACCAAATTGATGAAAAACCACAATGGTTTATAATCATATACCTGGTTTATTAATCATATATCCAAATTGATGAAATCCCCATGTGATAAAAACCACCATTTTTTCCAAGAAATTGGCCCTGCCAGGCCATCCTGCTTCGTCGGAGATATCTCCAAGCCATGCAGGAGCGCGCCGCGTGGGAGAAGCGGAAACGGGACGAGGCCCTGAAGGCGCGACGCGCTGGGAATTCACCCTGGGAAAAGCCTGGATTTTTGGGGAAAACCATGGGAAAAACCATGGAAAAAGGGATGGAATAGAAATCAATCCTGGCAAATGATGGAACATGTCATCCCGAAGTGAAAATCATGGAATCCAGGGTGGAAAGAGATGGAAAATCATGAGGAGTTACACTTCGTTCAACGGTCATTTTTTTGATAGGGATTGACGTCCTTCCATGAAACACATGTGGATTCAAGTTGCTGATGAGTGAATGGGAAATTATAAAATCCAGAAATTATGGCAGGTTGTTCTATAGGGGCTTATGTATGGTTATGCTACTATACTATTCAATACTATTTATAGATGAGGGCCGATCCGAATCCCTTCAAACGATTGTCCGATAGATTTTTGACACTGCCATTCAGGGAGAAATGCCCAGAATGGATGTTTTTTTTTTGCGGAAAAAGGATGAAAAAGGGGTGTGCGCTACAAGCTCCAAGCACATTGGACTAAACCAGTATATTTTTTTTAAGTTGATAGTGATAGTGATAGTGGTATAACCATTCGAAGCTGTGATTTGACCATCTTTTCAGATCTTTTCAGCTGATGGTAACCTTCACCTGCCATGGGGAATAGTTTCAGCCAGATTTTTTTTGGGGTTTTTGGGGCCGGCTATTCTCACAGACCTTCCGGCTGGAGAGGAATCTAAGTTTTTAAGGGAAACCTCAAGCAAGAAGAGGATGCCTAAAAGATGCCATCAATCCCCAGCATCAATCCCCAGTGATTTTTCAGTAGCAGGAATCAGCAACAGGACTCCTAGTAGGGGTAGCCACTAGTAGCCACTATCTATTTTCAAGCATTTTCAGCCCTATCTGATCTATATTCGTTGAGTAAGAATCGCTCAACTAGCCATGAGTTAGTTCATCAAACCTACTTCAAGGATCCCTCATGTTAGATCATGTTAGCCCTACAACAAAATTGAGCCGTTCTACCATTGATTATTTACATTGTGGTTTTGAATAGGTCTATGGTAAACCATGTAAATAAATCATTTAAATATATTTAAATTACAATGGTTTTAGTAAATTATTTTACACGGTCTTGACAATTTTAGCTCGAGTCTTCATTTCAATCTGATTAAATCAGTCTGACCCATACAGAAGCAACATTTTTCAGCGACCACCTTCATTGAAGACGTTTCCATGTTTCCAAATTTGTCGCCATCTCCAACACTTTTTGGTATCCGCAATAGACCAATATAGACCATACCCTACTCGGGACGATTTATGATAGCCAATTGGGGATGGTTGATGGCAGTGTGAATCCTGGATTTCTTTGACCTGACCCATGTGTTGGCCAACTCTAAAAAAAAAATCTGAAAATGTCGGAAGACCCCCACATTTTTCCCATGCTTTGAGACATCAGTTTTCAAAAGTTTTCAATATTTTTCCCATGGACATGGCTATTTCCTGCGGGTCCTATCATTCTAATTCTTTCATATTCTGTCATCATTGTAGCAATAACTCCACCTCAATAATCCTCAATAATCATAATTATCCCATATCCAAAAAATCATATCTTCACTTCACTAAGACCATCTTCCCATGAAAACAGCATATCATAATGAATGATACCATCTCATTCCCATGAGATTCACTTTGAAAACCCCCATGAAACTGCCATTTTCCATCATATTTCTCATGATATTCCCAGCCATTTCCCATGAAAACCTTTCAAACATGGCATTTTTCCCATAATTGTCCCATTCAAACCCTATAAACATGGCATTTTTCCAAATTTTCCAAATTTTCCGACCGGTAAAAACAACAACGACGCCACCGACACGTGCCCTTTTGGAGGCGGAGCGCGAGGCCGCGGAGAAGGCGGCGCTGCAGGCGGAGCTGGAGCGGGCCGTGAAGGAGGACGAGAAGAAGAAGAAGAGGCGAAATCTCCGGCCATGGGATAGAAATACCCTCTGGTTACCCTCTGGTAAACATACAAAAAGCTATTGAAAATGGCCATAGAAATAGTGAGTTTTCCCATTAAACATGGTGATTTTCAATAGTTATTTTAGTTTACCAGAGGGTATGTCAACAGTTTGCTATTGGATAATCAACTTCTATGAGACGAAGAGCTAATGTGACCAGGATGTAAGAGGACTTACAATGGTAAGAGATACCCGGCCTGGTAAACTAACAGTTTGCGAACTTGAAAATGGCTATAGAAATAGTTGATTTAGCCATTAAAAATGGTGATTTTACCCATTAATAAACATTAACTATTATGGAAATCTGGTTATATCAACATAGCTATTGAAAATGGCCATGGAAATAGTTAATTTTCCATTTAAAAATGGTGATTTTCCATTACCAGAGATCAAGAATTGATATATGATTTATTGATGGCTAATAGCTCAATATCAATATCAAATACTCTTAATATTCATAGTTAGTCTATCGTGCCTGGAATACTAATATTTGGTTGGTGGTTTGGAACGTGAATTTTATGACTTTCCATTCAGTCGGGAATGTCATGATCCCAACTGACGAACTCATATTTTTCAGAGGGGTTCAAACCACCAACCAGCAAAGAATTGATATATGTATGTATTTTTTTTTCATGATATAGTGATGTAATGAGATAGTAATCAAATGGTAAAATCATGATAATCCGGTTTGTTTATAACGGATTTTATAGAAACGGAGCCGGGATCGCCGGGATTCTGTTGGGGATTTTCATGTTCTTTTTACTGGGATAATCATCAAATGAGACTAAGAGCTAATGGTAATAGATAGATTTATAGTAATCAAATGTTAAAACGGCGAAAGAAACGGTAATCAGTGGTAATCAAATGTGACATTTACTGAAGATCGATTAATGGTAATCAAATGGTAATCAACTACAAATAGCTATGGAATATGGATGGGATGTGACTTAATTACTGAAGATCGATAGAAATAGTAATCAAATGTAATTCATAATGTAAGCAACTATATTTCTAGCTATATATATATATATATAATATTTTACCGGGATAATTCATGGGATTTATAGGGGATTTCATGGGATCTTCATGGGATTTTAATGGGACTTGAATGGGATTTTCATGGGACTTGAATGGCATATGTATAATGATCAAATAATCAAGTGTAAATAGCTATGGCATATTATATAATAGTAACTAACCGATAAATAATGATGTGAAAATTAGCACAAATAGTACTGTAAGATATGGAATATCTATAGTAGTTAAGTAGGTATAGTGATTAGTACTACTATAGCAGTAATTACTATCAGTTCATCCATGATGGATTGTCTTGGATATATAATTAGTAGATATAGTAGTTCCCAAATAGTTTCAGCTTCAGTGAAGATGTTTGACACTGCCACATTCTATCTACTCCAGCATGACTAGATATGGACTATGAATAGTGACTTACTGATGTTCACAGTGATTTGCTGATACTAATGTATATATATATAAATATAACTTTGTATATACATAGAAGTTGATTACTGTAGATCCCTATTTAAATATCGCAATATAGTCGACTAATCAAGTTAATCACAATTAATAGGGAACACTTCAGTGATTTACTGCAGTAATAGATATGTAGATGGGATAACTAATGGATAATTAATGGAACATCTGGTGGTTTACTCAATATCTATAGTGTTATTACTATCAGTAGATTGCTAGTATTAATATCAAGAGTATTACTGCGGTTCGCGGCCTGGCAATTCAACATGGCGCGCCGCTGGGAGTCTTCCCCGAACGAGCCATGGAAGTTTATAGCTGGGATAGAAACATGAAATTCCAGTGACCTAGAAGGATTTTTTCCAGTGTTTTTCTGTAGTCATAGATCTATGTCTTGATAGTTTAGATACCATGTCAAACTTTATGTATATTTATCGATATATATATACATATACATGTAATGTATGTATATATATATTATATATAATTGCATAGATAGATAGATAGATAGATAGATACTGCTGCATACTCCTGCCGTGCTTGCTTTCCGATTCAGGAAGGGCGGCAAGGCCAAGACCGTCGCTGCACCACCTGAGATCGTCCAGGCCGTACAGCAGGTCGAGGTGGACGAGATGGTCCAGGTCGGGCCAGGTCGGCAGCGTGGTGGAATTATGGTTGCCTTATAGTGATTCATGGGATAATAGTGAGTATGATAGTGATTCATAGTGATTTATAGTGATTACTAGTGGTTAATAGTGATTAATAGTGGTTAATAGGGGTTAATCGTGATTAAAAGTTGATAATAGTGAGCAATGGTGATAATAGTGGTCATTACTCCCTATCATTAATGGTGATAATAGTGGTCATTCATGGGATAACAGTGAGTATGATAGTGATTATGATGGGGCCGGCGTTCGAAATCGCGTTCAGTTGCCTAAAACATGTTGCTGACTCCTATGGTTTATGGTAGATATAGCGAACTATGAATTAGAATTACAATGTGGGGCCCCCAAGATAGCTAAGTTGGTGCACATAACTCCAATTTCACTATGGTTTATAGTACTTATAACTATAGTATTCATGGGGTTTATAAACCAACATTCACAAAACTGGGGGGCACCGGGCACTTGAGGTAACCGAAAAAATCATCAAAGGTCATGGATGAAACCCCCATGGCTGGATGTTTTCCACAAAGGATACCCCAATAGCTGGATGGTTTATTTCATGGAAATTCCGAACATGAAATGGATGATTTAGGGCCTAGGGTACCCCCAATTTTTCGGAAAGCTCCAAATGGATGTATCAAAGAATGATATGAATAAGGATGTATCACTATTCAATGGCTACTCCATTTTGCTGAGATTGTTTTTGTTTACTGTGTACCTCTAAGGATGACAATATATGACAATGACCATCTTTAAGATAATAATGAAGGATAATAATTACTATCATAATAGTTAAAGATAACCATTCGATGATAATCACACATATCGCTAATCATCTAATGATGGGTTATTAAAACTAGAGGATATTACCATTATTATTAACCATCCTTAAGGATAACAATCTAATGATGGTTTATTTTACTTTTTTATTCGTATCACCAATCAAATCATGATTGTGAACTCCCTAATAAACTGGATTGCGCGAATCCATCATAAGCAAATGACGGCCGCAAGGGCGGACAATTTGTCATTTTACCTCTTCATCTACCCAGTTTTTCCCTCATGTATCTGGGGTGTTGGGAGCAACCCCAATAAATGGTGATTATAATCATCTAATTGAAGATGATGAATAATGATTCATAACAATCATTTCTTTTTTGTTATCTTTTTTTGATTTTGGATTTATCTAGTTTAATTATGACTGCAAGGGGATACTTTATATGTATATAAATACACATGACTTCTGGGCAACATGTTCTTCGATGGTGCTTTTGATAATTTTTTTTTGGTGTCAACCTCCCAGATTCGGTGCGATTTCTGATGCAATCATGGTGCGATTTCCCATCCCAATCCCTCCCCCGTATTTTCACATCCACTCCTGGTTGGTGGTTTGGAACATTTTTTATTTCCATAATATATGGGATAATCCTTCCCACTGACTAATAATATTTTTCAAGATGGTTAAGACCACCAACCAGACTCAGTTTCATGTGATCATTGCAGCGATACCATGCTGCTGTACCACTGTGATTCCACTGATACCATGCCTTGATGTTTGACCTGGGCCGCCTGAAACCTTGGAAAACAGTGGTTGGACCCGCTAAGGGATCCGCTAAGAAGGGCTTGGTGAAATTATCAAAGTCACTTCTTGGACTTTTCCTGGTTGGTGGTGACTGGAACCATGGAATTTTATGACTTTCCATTCAGTTGGGAATTTCATCATCCCAACTGACTCATATTTTTCAGAGGGGTACCATCTGGTTATTTAGCATAGCCATGGAAAATCACAATTTTTAATAGGCAAACCATCTATAAATGGGCCATCTATACCATGGCGAACTGTTAGTCATAAACAGAGGGTAGGCGAAAAACCACCAACCAGTTTCTTTACATCTACTGATGCACAACCCTCAGAGAATGGGTGAACATACCACCAGGGTGGATTTATCCCAGCCATTTCGGTGAACGGCTCAAAACTCGGTTCAGAACAGAAGGACTCTACAAAGGTAGAGTTTCTGCAGGGTCAGCTGCATATTTTTTCGACATTTAACTTAACCTATACAGAGACTTTGCATTGAAAACATGCTAAAATTTAGCAAAGACGGAGGCATACTATGGGTAAAACTGTTGAACCGTGTTAAACCTCATTTTTCACCGCGCAAAAGGTGGAGGAAGGAACAACCACCTGGCCGATGATCAAGGCCCGGCCTGGACATAACGTCTTGCCATGGCCATTCTAAATATAGGTACCCCAGGGTAAACGTTTACATGTGGAAAACCCATGGTTTCCCGTTCGGAAATTGATCTACATGACAGTGGGTGTTCCACATTAGTGCACGTTTACAGGAGGGTAAATCATCTGTAAACCATGATGCCATGATCATCCATGATCCATTTTCCACGGTTACGAGCTGAATTACCAGAGGGTATCGTTGCATCAAACGGCAATCGTAGGATGATATCTCCAGTATCATCCTGCATTTCTTGCATGAACACCAGGAGTTTTTTTTCGTTTTATGTGTTCCCCATATGTCTATAAAATACGGGTGGCGGCTGCATTAATATCGCATGGTAAAAATATAGTTTGACTCTAAGTCCCTTTTCAGAGATATCAACCACAACTGGACATCCCAGACCCGGACCCCAAGGGGTCGTGATTGGTTCCGCCCACCTTGGGGAATCCCAGGTTCCGGATGAAACAGGGGCCATTGGGATCAACCAATCACTTCGCCAGCCACTAGTTTGGATAGATGAGATTAGGGTAAATTGATGTAAATTCTATCGTTGATTGTTGATGAGCCACTTGTTTTCGGGGGAGTTTTGGATTGAGCCAGTTGTGAGGATCATTTCTTTGGGAGCTGGGTGGAAACCAACAAGAAGATTTATGGAGAAGGGTCCATTTTGGGAGAGCGGTTTACCACTGAACATTCGTACATACCAATAGTCAGAGCCCCATGTGCCAGTGCAGTTGTGGTGAAACCAATTGCATCATGTTGCTTATCGTTACCCGGCCTGGTCAATAAACAGTTTGCGATAGCTATAACATGGCCATTGAATTATAGTGGATTTACCCATTAATAGCATGGTGATTTTCCATAGTTCTGTAAACGTTTACCAGAGGGTAAATGTCATGCTGTTGTTTTTATTGTTCCTTCAAATCGTTTTGTATGGATGATCCACAGCCATTGCGACACAGCACCATTTCCCAAGCCTAAAAAAAAGCACAGCTCAAATCACGCCATGGCCATTGTTTTTGGCCCGCGAAAAATTCTCAGTTAATTGAGGGCCAATGAATCATTAGCATTTTTGTCTAGTATCTTCACCCCGACGCAACTTTTTGGCATGCGATGTGGTGCTGGTCGTTCCTTCCTTAGGTCCCCAGCACACCTATCAAGCAAGAAATTCAAAGACAGCAAGTGACAGCTACCCCGTTTCCAACTCTTTTGGTGGGACAGCCGTCGAATTGGCGCCATGGCAGCGGTAAAGCTTAAACACTCGGATCTGGGTGAGCATTCACTGGGCATCCTGCAGCAGTTTCGAGAATTCTGGATGGAAGACCATCGTTGTGACGTTGTGCTGAAGAGCAATGATGGCGCGGAGCATCGTGCCCACGCTGTTGTGCTATCTGCTGCCAGCGTGTTTTTCAAGAATTTGCTGAGTGGATCCTTTCTTGAAGCAGACCAGGTGCAAAGAGGACAGCCAGTCGAAATCTCTGCTTCTAAAGCAGCGGTCTCCGCTTTGCTTGACTATATCTATGGTGGGCAGCCTGAGGTGAACCTTGAGGCTGGTCTTGAGCTCCTACGACTGGCCGAGGCGTACAACTTGCCAAAGTTAGCAAGTGCGATTGAGGCAGGCTTCCGTGCTTCCTTGGACAGCCCTTCTGCCTTGCAAATCTTGAAAGAAGCGCACGGCCTGCATACTTTGAAGGCTGCGTGTGAAGAGAGGGTCGCTGACAATTTTGAGACTTGCAGCCAGCATCCAGACTTTGGAAAGCTCAGTTCTGGTCAACTGGCCCGAATTCTCAAACGAGAAGATTTGATCGTGTCTCGGGAGGAAGCGGTGTTGAAGGGCTTATTTCACTGGCTCAAAGTCTCCAAGGACAGATATGCTTTACTGGCCATGCTGCTGCAGCACGTGGATTTTCAATCGGTTTCTGTAGACAACTTGCTCCGCCTAGGCCGCATTACCCTATCGGGTCCAACTGGTGACGACCTGCAACGTGAAGTCAATGAAGCTTTGCGAGTTCGGGGCCAAAAAAGAGCCCAAAGTTCACCTGATTTCCAGCCAAAGAGGCGTTGTTTAAAACATTGGTCACCAGATCTGGGTGCCAGCACCAAAGCTCCAGGGAGAGCCGTGTTGCCTGTGATCTGCAATTCCTTGTGCTGGCACGAAGGTGCCATTTATGCCGCCGACTACAGCGGTAACATCCTTTACTGGAAACCTGGTGATTTGGTAGCCGACATGCGACGAGTTGTGGGTGAAGGTGTGGAAGTCACTGGAATCAATGACCTGGGGAACTGTTGTGAGCTTGCCATCTCGGCCACTGGAGAGATCTTCGTGGGTGATTCTGACAATGACAGAGTGGTTAGTTTTCAAAACGGATCTGGACTCTTGGTGCTTGATGATTTTGGGGAATACGATGTCATGTGTTGCTCGTCGAACGGAGTGCTGTACGTGCTGACCGATGCCCTGCAGAAGTTGGTGGGCTCGAGCTTCCAGACAGTCATGACCTCGGAAAGCCTTACGGCAGACACGGAGTTCATGCCCAAAGCCATGTTTGTGACCAAGGAAGAGGTGATCTATATCCTTGATAATCACAACGCCCGCATTCTACGCTTCAATCCTGCTGTGTCCTTCAAACCTGTTGTGGTGGGACACGTCCCAGAGCAGGGAGCCGACCTGCAGGACCTGTTCGTAACTGAAGCTGGAACAATCTACATCGCAGACCAAGGTCAGAGAAAGGTGCTGGCCATGCGGCCAGGTGAAGCAACTTTCACGGAAGTCCTGGAATGTCCAGATGGATTGTCCCCTTCTGCAGTTCTGGTCCAGGACAGATCGTTGTATGTGAGCACGGTGACCGAAGGTCTGACAGGAGGATGCCTGTATGAATATGTTTTACCTGACGAGCTTCACCTGGAGTGAGAAAAAGTCGTGTCAGGAAACGTGTCAGGAAAAGCCCAGGATTTGGTTGCTTGAATCATCGGTGTTGAGACATTTTTTTGGACCTCAAGGCCACGTTTGCCGTAGAATAATAAAAAACAGCGATTCGCCTGGACAGATTTAATATCCCCAACATTGAATTATTTCACAACTTGTCCAACTTGTCCAAGCAGTAGGGGAGTTTCTCGCTTATTATTATTATTTTTTGTATCTACATTGACAATCAGATGACTGGAGTAAACCATCCTATTGTGGTACGATCATCCCCTATGGCCCTATGGCTGGCTGGTGCGAAACGATCGGTGTCCGAGTCACATGGCTTTCCATGGCTTTCGGTGTAAGCCATCCAACATTTTTAGCAGACCATCCCATTTTTGATCATAGATTCCCATACGTCCGAATCTGACCATGATGAAGTAGCAACTCGTGATTTAGATATATTTAGATTAATTACTTGTTGTCATCTTCACCCCACCTACTGCAAAAGAGTGTTTCTCAACATCGATTGCCAACCATTGTTTTTTTCATCAATGAGTGCCATACGAGTTTTGCTAGTCATATCTGGTCATATAATTTTAGTCGGTTAACCCCTCCCATATTGGTATGATTGGTTAATATCACACTTTTGGAAACACCCCTGTACACACCATCGTTGGTTATGTCTCTTATATCCCACAATTGCTGGTTCAAAATTCAAAATATACTATTTTCCACAATATCCATAAACCAAATGAACTTGCCAAACTATGCATCTCGTTGATGGCATCCTTGAAACATGGTTGGGTCAGGTCCCATCAGATTCCAAAAGCCAATGGAAGTCCAAAGTAACCAGATGAGGTTATATTTTGGCTTGATTCAAAACAAATGAGTTCATATATGGTGCCTCACCAGCCGTGGGGTGCGCAGCGCGAGCGCGCGAGCATTTCACATGTGCACGCTCGAGAAGCACGAGCAAAGACAGGCGCGCCTGTTGACTCGCGCACGCGCGCGCGCGTGCGTGCGGACTTGGACACAAGCGGGAGCGTGCAAATAAGCTCACATAATGTAATGTAATGTAATGTAATGTAATGTAATGTAATGTATATGTATGTAACAGTATGTATGTACACGTATATTCTATACATGTTTCCCGGTATATCCCATCCCATCAACTATGATATATCCCATATTGGTTCCATCCTAGAGAAAATCTTATATCTTTGGAAACACTTAAAACTAATAGAAGTAAAGGTTTAAATCCCATGTTGGCGGTTGAACATGGATCACGCATAAGTCTCCCATCATATTCCAAGATAATTGGAGAGAAAAATTCTCGCACCCGTTTGTTGTTGGAGAAGTCTTTCCAAATTTGCTAAACAACATAATTTCAAATTTGTACTATTGACTATATCCCGTCAACCATCCTGAAGTAGATAGAATACAGACTTTTGAAACATATTCCCCCTTTACGGAGTTTTGTTCTTACATGTATATATGTTTTGGGTATTAAATCCCAAACTAGACCCCTACATTCTATTCCACCAACATATGGATGTGCCAATGGCTAATTTGGCATATCCCCACATGGCAATCTGAACACGGAAAGTGGTGATGAACCATCAAATTTAGGGATTTCCTCTAAAATTTTCAGCACCCTATTTTTTAGACAGTCGAAAAATCGTGCAGTACACCAAGTTATAGCCATTATCTAGAGAAATGTAAGATTTTACACCATTAGATGCACCCGAGATTCTCTCACACAAACCCTAAACCAAGGTGGTTTTCCCCAAGTAAAACCACGTTAGTTACGTTAGTTTGTGGTTTTATGAACCCACCTAACTATAGTCATAATCACCATCAACGACAGAATTCACCGAACGTGAGCTGTTTACCATCTCAGAGCTATCATAAATCAACATACATCAACTATAAATACTTATGAATCCATGTATACACATATATATATATATATATATTACATACACAGCGATTTGTGCCCACTTATACACCAAAAATGGACCATCAAAAATCAACTATATCAACTAGAAATCCCTTTACACCCGGAACAAAATGTTCCTTAGATCACTAATTTTCAATGGTCAAATCCCCCAATTTCTGACGATCAAATCCCGATTTCCAATTGTAAAATCCCCCTATCTGCGATTGAAATCCTTATCAATCCATATAAATTCCCATTTGTGTCACCTACTTATAAACCATCTTAGCCATCATAAATCAAGTATATAGCGCCAGTATCAAACAGAAAACCTCTAGAAATCCATAGAAATCCATATCAATCCCACATGTCTTACTTAAATCCCCCCATCTTGGGTGAAATTTTCTTCCAACCACCTGCTGCAGGCACCCAGCAGCGCACCGAAGGAGGTGCCCATTGCAGGTGGACCGGAGCGCTTCACCACGGCTGATGCCAAGGGAAGGCTCCCGGTGCACATCGGTGCCCTCTCCAAACGTGGCTGGGCTCAGGATGGTGAAACCATCGAAAAACGGGGGATTTCATATGATTTCATGGCCAGAATTTGGGGATTTCTATGGATTTCTTACTTTTTGGGGAGAAAATGGGGATTTCATGGCTAGAAAAAATTGGGGGATTTCTTTGATGAATTTAGATGAGGATCTGTCGGATCAGGATTTTTTTTCAGGAACATTTGTTGGATTCAACCAGAAATCACTGGGTTGGAAGGGACATTTATAGTGGGTTAATAATGTGTTAATAATGGTGTAATAGTGATTAATAGTGATTCATATTGAATGGGATAGAACTGTTAATGTCAAGCCTGGATTAATGTCAACCCCGTTTGCGGTTGTTTCATTGGGGGGATACCATCAAAAAGTATCAGATGATATGAAATGACTATTTGGGGGTACGTACCCCCCTAATAAACCTCATAAACCATGGTTTAGCAATTCATCCGGGGTTGACAGTTACAGGAAATTCCGTGGTTCTAGCGATCTAAATCTTTAGGTCTTCCGGTGGATCACCCCGTGCCGTTTTGTTTGGCGGAGATTTTTGACTTGAAGATTCAACCAGCTGAATGGGGTTGAAGCGAAAAACCTGGTGTTGATCTAACTATCCCGGATCAAAATCAAGGATAGATACTAAACTGACAACAATGTATGGGTTTTTGTAAAAAAAACCTTTAATGATGGCAACAAATTTCATGGGTAGCTCTCATGTTTGGGTGAGATGGCAGTGATAAGTTGGCCAAGTTGGCCTATAAAGCCCATGAACCTCTCTAGGGGGCCCACCCTATAGACTTTTTGTAGCAGGACCATTAATTACGGAATTTTCATGGGTTTTTTTTGTCATGGTGAGATACACCCTTAAGAGTAACATAGCAATGGAAAACCAACATCAAACTAAATGGCCCATCTATACCATAGCTATCTTAGTGTACTGGAGCTAGAATGGGATATATATATATATATAAACACCAGAGTGTTATACACACCTTAGCTAGTCATATATGCTATAGCATCTATAGCTTTACCCCATCATATGTGGAGGGTACCCATTTACCTATGGGCTATAACCTGTTAGGTAGTAGGTGTCGTCCTGTGATTTCATAGATAAAACTAGCCATGATTGTTGAACCTTGCAATTGCATCCATAATCTTATCCATGATGGTTATCCATTCTATCATTCTATGCCCATAAAGCTAAGTAATCTCCACCAAACATCCACCAACACTCTGGAGATCTTCCAGGACCCTTGGACCCTCGGCCTCCAGTCCACCCTTTTTAGGTCTGGACACCATGACGCTCCTGCTGGAATTGGAGGCGGATGTGAACGCACCGGACTTGGAGGGGAACTCTGCACTGATGCGCCTTGGATCGCCTTGGCGAACGACATGGGGAAGTTATCACGACATAGGCACTTTGAGGGATCCCCCATGTACCCTCTGGTAAACTAACATAGCTATTGAAAATTGCCCATTTATAGTGGATTTACCCACAAAAAATGGTGATTTTCCATAGTTATGTTAGTTTACCAGAGGGTATATATATATTATATATATATACTGATATCATCCCGAAAAAAGTGCCTATAATACTTTATTATACCAATTTATGTTGATAAATATAGGGCATATTAATTGAGATATAATTGAGATATAATGGGAATAGAACTGGATATAGTTGGATACATGATATATCCTTTGCTGCTACTTTAATGGTGGCTTAATGGGATATCATGGTGGTAAACCATCAAACATAGGGAGATCCAAGCAACGAATCATGGAAGAATGAAAATGACAATGGATGTTCACGGAGAGTAAATAATGATACCCTCTGGTGCTGACTAACAGTTTGCGAACTGGATAATCACCATCAAATTCAGAGGTAAATCCTCCAAGTGAATGGGCCATTTTCACCTGTTCCAATATCTATGTTGTACTACCAGAGGGTATGGCTTGAGGCTTTTTCAATGGGAAACATGATAGACGATGATAGACGATGATAGACGCTGATGATCATTCTGATCATTTTGGGCGGCTCAGCTGACATGGAATCACTGTTTTTCGGAAGTTTTTAATGACATGGAGATGGGTGAAACCATATGATACCTAGCATATTTGGAGAGAGCATGACCCTCCATATTTGTAAATTACATTTCGAGGCTTCGATCCACTATTCGGTGAAGGATTCCCTCTGAAACCTATGAAATGGGTAAATCTAAGAGTTTCTCACCCAAATCACAAAATCGGTCAGAAAAAAAGAACCAGCAAGATTAGGGATTTGTGAATGGATTGTGACATTTTTGTATATAATTCCATCATATTGATCTATCACGAAAATGGATTTAGGGATTTCAAGCAACACTATATGAATTCAGACTGTTACTGTTGTTATATTCCAACAATAGGACCTAAGGTCTGTAACTGATAGGTCTGATAGGGGTTTGGGATTTCAAGAAGAACAGGGAGTTATGAGGTCTAAGAACAGCCTGTCCGAAGAATCCATCGTAGCAAAAAATCAAAATCAAGAAACCCGACCATAGGATCAACCAACAAGATTAGGGATTTCAAGACATTTCAACTGGCACCAAGGGATTTCAACCAGGCTGGATATATTTACCATGGCTTTTCGAAGTCCCAAGTCTGAGACTTGGGACTTCGAAAAGCCATGGTAAATATATCCAGTTGATGACATTGCCAACAAGATCAGGCTTTTCTGAGCCAAGATTGCTGTTTTTTTGACACAATGTGATCTACAACTAATCGAGGTAGTGATTTCAGCATCAACATCTTTGAAACTTGCCGCAATTCCAATCTTTAGTCAATCAGATTAGGTTTTTTTTTCACCTTGAGAATTCAACCACTCTTCCAGTTGGTGAAGACCCAAGCTGAGATCCTACTGATCCTAAGCAATGTCAAGATCGATCTTGACCGGCCTTCATCGGCAGGATCAGAATCTCTATACAGAATGCCCATGTTTGGTTGGTTATTATTTTTACTGGATACACTCCGATGATTGAAAAGTGGACATAGGCATTGAACATGTTTCATAGTTGATCTACATTACCGATGAAGAGGGGTGATTTTCCATAGCTATGTGGAGGTTTCCATAGCTATGGCGGTATTCCCAAATAGATGATTTATAAGTGAAAATCCTATCAACATGGATGATTTTGGGGTACCCCTATTTTGGGAAACCTCCATGTCAGTTTACTTGAAAGGTCAACCACCATGTCATTTTGTTGGATGGTGAAAACCGAGGTTGGCGGCCCGCAGCGACGACCGCTGGATGGTGGAAGTGCTGTTGACGTTTGGTGCGGATCCGGAAATGAAGAACATCAACAACGAGGCGCGATGAAAAAATCGATTGGTAGATTGTTCATGGGTTTACCATGGAAAAAAGTATGGAAAAAAGATTGGGTGGACGATAAAGATATATGATTCACTGGCTGTTGGTTGGGAGGGAGCTAAGGAGCCAGGGGTACCCATATAGCCCTTTAAAGGGGGAGCTAAGGAGCTACGAGGATGGTTCTAACCAAATGCTAGTTCAGAATTTACATTTAAGATGAGTCAATGAGAAACTATGGGATGGAATGGAGGGGATGTTGAGTAGTAGTAGATGGACCGTTTTTAGCAACAAACATAGGGATGAATGAGTCATGAAATAGTGATATACCAGAGTATAAATGGAGGCAGATCCAAGTCTTTGTGTGTGGTGGGTGATGGATGGGGTCGGATGGGGTGCAGATGGATTTACAATGCATGGGGATGCAAAGGGTGCCAATGAAGAATTCTAAGGATGATATGGAGAATCCATGAACCAAAATGGGGACCGGGAGGAACTACCAAGAAAGCAACTTCAAGTGGAAGCGGGGATGAGGTTTGATTCTCTCAGAGGATTTGGAGAATATTTGAAGGAATTAAGTAATACAGATTTTTAGCGGGTTCTACCAAGAAGCATGGGAATTGAAGCAACAAACATGGAGGATTTGAACGGTCCATTCTAAACCCTGAACCTCAAAAGGGTGTATGTATATATATATATGTATATATATATATGATCCATGCCTAGCTCACATAGGTGTGCCTAAAAATGGGGGAGATATGCCAAATGATGAACAGTTGCTATGATGTTATGTTTCAGTTGGCAAAATGATCATAAACATTCATATATGCCATAGGAGATGGCATATTTTCTCCAAAAAATCAGAGAAATTCCTATCATAGAATTGGATGATGGGAAAATTTACAGGAACCTTCTATATTTGATGGTAAAAACCCATGGGTTTCCGGTTAAGATTTTCCCTTCAACCAATCCATTGATCCTATCTTTAAAGCAGATTTATAGCCATATCCACCCCCACAGTTCGATTCCGATCATTCCCTTGGTGCTTTTCGCCGCCTGTGATACATCCGACGGGTCTCAGCTTTGCTGAAATGTTTGTGGCAGCGAAATCTGAAAGTGGGTGGATATAGATACATTCTCGTTGATGGTTTCAACTACGTTTTCAATTTTCAATACTGGTTGGTGGTTTGGAACCATGGAATTTTGAATGACTTTCCATTCAGTTGGAAATGGAATAATCATCCCAACTGACGAAGTCCATCATCTTTCAGAGGGGTAGGGCGAAAAACCACCAACCAGAAATGGCATGGGATGATGATCTCCGATGGTTCTGTATTTTTCAGATGGATTGATTGAACCCCAATCAGCAATTAGTGTTGTGATCTCTGGTAAACATTCACAGTTTGCGATAGCTATAAAATGGCCCATGGAAACAGTGGATTTACCCATTAATAGCATGGTGATTTTCCATAGTTACGTAAACGTTTAAACCCATTAGATCCAATTAAACCACCATAAATTCCCATTAAAATTCCCATTAGATCCCATTAAAATGTTATATAGATGGATTGAACTCCAGCAATCAGCAGTTAGTGTTGTGATCGACCCCTTGGGGCCCGTTGCATCAAACCTATCGCTACGACGGCTACGATTTCCGAGCCAGGATTGTTTCAGCGGTTCCAGTCAAGTAATGCAGGACTACATCCACAAGTGGCTTCGATGGATCTCAGCATTTTTTGGGATGATTTTCCAAAGCTAAGAGCCTCCTTTGGGGGGAAACTCGTAACTGTTTTTTGAGGCAATTGTAGGCCCAATGATAATTTAATGAGTTGGACACCAGCCTCCATATCAGCAGACATTTTGTGATTTTTCATCTGCCCCACGCTTCTGAAGGGACCTGTTTTGAGGATTTCTGGACGTTTGTGGATCCACACTTTCAACCTTCATGACAGGTTCTGTCTCGGTAGCAACCCTAAGCACCAGTGTCCACGTATTTCTTGAGACAGAATACCCTCAACAAGTGTGCTTGGAAGATGTTATTCCCAGTGCACAGAGACTTTGAAGTGCTTCTTGCACCTCAGAAGGCTTTTTTTTGATTGAAAAGTGCATGGCACAAAAACAGCACAAGAACATGGCTTGCTGGAGATTTTCCTTCATTTCGAAGATGATTTTCCCATTTAAAGCTCCATTTTTTTTGGGATTTCCCAGCGGGCCATGGAAAATTCACATGACCAGAGGCTCCTGGTTTTTCGACGGCAACAACTCAGAGCCACCAGCAAACATGACTAGGATGGTTCCTATAAATTGGAATTTGAAGCAATAGTCAAGCAATATAAAAGATCTAAAAGAAAAAGGTAGTGCTACGTGTTTCACCAACTTTTCAATTTCACACAAAATCCCAATTTTTGTTGAGTTTGGCGAACTGTGCCATTCCCATTTATGTCATCTCAACTTTTTATTGGACTCTGGACTCATTGAAATCGTCCCAGGATGTCCCAGGAGTTGTTTTACATCCCAAATAGTGGACAAAACCATGGTATACCTACCAAATTCCACCCCATTGGGGATGGTAAACATGATTGGAATGACCTCATCTTTTGTAAACACATGAAGCACCCCAACAACTTCCCCAACAAAAATAACATCATAATTTTTAGCCGAACATCCAGTGGTTGGGAGGGTAGAGGTATCCATATTCAATGGTTTTTTATGGCGAGCCGGAGCTACGAACAGAGTTTCCAACCATATGATAGATTATCCCGTGATATCGACCGGTTATTCAACGGCTACCTACCCTCTGGTAAACTAACACAACTATGGAAAATCACAATTTTTCATGGGAAAATTCACTATGAATTTTATAAATGGTGATTTTCCATACTTTTGTTAAATTACCAGAGGGTATATTCCATATTCCATATCACGACAGAGCTACGGAAACGTTCTGCTGTCCCAATCTTCCCTTAGAAAAACTCATCGGACTTCATTGGACTTCCACCGAGGTGGGTGTGCAACATTACAAAAGCGCCATGTATCAGAGGGTAAACCATCCAGATCCAGATTGCTCCAATGAAGTATCTCATTCTGGTGATTACTTATGATTAATTATCTACCATTATCCATACAATAATAGTGATCCACCATCTGATTATGGATAATATGGATCCTCTGATTATCATATTTCATTATTTTTATTATGGGTCGAATGATATGGATCGGATTTGATTATCCCATCATTATCCCATAAACCGGTGATGTTTCCCTACCTTATCCCATCCCTTTTCTTCTGATTTTTCAGATCCCCAGATCCCCAGAGCTCCCGAGCTCCCTAGAGGTGGGTCCAACAGAAGCGTTTCCGCGGCCTGGTGGAGTTCCCGTTACCTCCCTCGCCGCTGCACGCGGTCTATCGCGTGCGCGTGGATTGTCTTCCGATGCTCATCTACACCGAGGAGCTGGAAACTGCCGTGGTCACTTGGAACGCGACTGGAGAATCTCTACTGTCAGATACTCTAAGCATGAGCAAAAAGGGTGATTTCACCGTGAAAATCGGTGATTTTTGTGGGTGAAACATGGTGATTTTTGTTGGTGAGTTCGAGGTGAGTTCTGCGCATGACAAATTGCTGATTTGATGAATTTCATGGGAGACTTCGGGACAGACGCTTCTGACCAATGTGGAAAAAAAGCGTGAGAGAAACATCAAACTGGGTAAAATATGACCATAAAATACAGTGGATGTCAGGATGTCACAATTTGGCTACAGTACCACCTATTTATTTGAAGTAGGGTAATTGACGACATTTTTTGATATGTGGAGGGCGGGCCAGACCGTAAATATGCGCCGGAGGTAGGATGAAATACCAGTTCGTTTTTTTTAAATGTAGTTACCGTAGATATATTCACCAAGCATTTTGTGATCAATGGTATATCATCAACAGCATTTCAACAAGTGGGACTTTGATGTTTTTTTTTAGTTTGGGTGTGTTTGCAGTGGGAATGGAAAACGCCCTAAAGTATATGAGAACTTTAGGTGAAATATTTATTTTAATACACATTTGTGATATGCATGCTAGTATATATATATGGATATATAGCTATGATTTGGTGATTGGGGTATAGCTCCAAATATCACATGGATGTTATTTTAGAGCAAATAGACTAATATAACTCATATAACCACTCCCTGGTTGCTAGTTTCGAATATCTATATGAATATCTTAGATCCTAAATTGATAACTTGTGGGGCCCCCCCAGTGATGTGAACGTTGGTTTAGATTCACCCCATGAATACTTTAGTTATAAAGTTATAAGTATTATAAACCATAGTGAAATTGGAGTTATGTTCACCAACTTAGCTATCGAACGGGGGCCCCACATTGTAATTCTTTTATTCATAGTTTCCTGGCTCCCAAATGGAATGATGATCAAAATTGACTTGAAACAACCAACCGATGTTTGTTGGTGCTTCCCACCTGCTGGGAAGAAAACAGTGGTAAACCCTCATCTATAAACCCAAACGTGCTGATATCCGCAAGCAGCTATATACCATCTGGTAATTTTTAACATAGCTATGGAAGGCATGGCCCATTTGTAGAATGATTTACCTATTAAAATGGTGATTCTCGATAGCCATGTCACGAAAGGTAGCTCCAGAGGGGCTACCTTGAGTTTTACTTTACGAAGTAAAGGGGAGGGCGGCCAGCCCCGTTACCTGATTCTTCAGGAGATTGCTAGTCATTTTAGTACCCCCCCCCCATGTTTTTGTTTCGACCTAATACCTACATAGGTACATGCATGAGTATTGAGCACATTTATATGCGCCCCTTCAAGGCTCAAGAGGTATATAGAGTAACCCTGTAGACAAGCACTGACCGGCAACAGGCTGAGAGTAAAAGAGTGCTGTCATTGGGGAAGACGCCTTAGCTGATCTTGAAGTAGACGCTAGGGCCCCTCTTCAAGTGGTAGCGGAGCAGTGATCCCTCATTGAGAGTGAGCTCCAGGTAGAGCCCAAGAAATGGCAAGCCATGGCTATGATGATGATGACTTCGACATTGTCGATGCAAATGAATGGAACCAATATGACTCTTATGCAATGAGAAGAGCACCCCAGCATACACAGATTCATATGACGCAACAGATGACCACAAAGGTTGCTCCAGCCTATGATGGGCGAACCAGCTTCTTTGCTTTTGAGGCTGCAATTGATGACTGGTGTGACATTACGGAGTTAGAACCAGAGAAACGTGGTCCAGCATTGCGCAACAGACTGGAAGGAGATGCTCAACAATACAAGAGGCTATTGGATAGAGAATTACTCAGGGATCCCTATGAAGGAGTGGCTTATTTCAAAAGATTTCTACGACCTCATTTCATCAAAGGTGCCCAGAACGTGTTCTTATACCGTTTCATGCAGTTCATGAAGTTCAACAGAGGAACAATGGATCTTCAGAAGTGGATGACTAGATTTCAACTCACTGGCAATAGACTTATTGAGTCTTGGATGGATTTACTTCCAGAAGTAACAGTGACTAGTCCTGAAGCAATTCTGTTTGTTCAACAACGACGTCAAGAACATGAACGAGATCAACAAGAGAGAGCTGAAGTAGCAGCAGCCTCAGGAACACCCCATGTAGCTGTTCCTTGGACAGATGAACTGGCACTAGCGGCATTCAGACAATTTCAGGAAAATCGTAGAGAAGTACAGCGACAAGCATTCCCACTGGGTGAAAATTTGCTAGCATTGATTTTTGTAAGTCTAGCTGACCTGAGTCAAGATCAGAGAAACACACTCACAAGTGTCATGACACATCGTGGACGAACCCTCGATCGATACAACATTCAAGAACTACGTGACCTGTTTTTGGAAATGTTTTGCACTACCAAAACAGCAGTTGACAATCCATTGATGCAACCCTCTGGCATGGCACAGAGAAGATCTTTCCTCGTACTGGATGAAGGTGAATTAGAAGGAACCGACGGCTATTGGGCCCAAGATGAAGAAGACGGCGCAGAAGGATTCCTGGATGCCTTAGAAGATGTTTTCTGGGTTTATGATGACGCCAACTTCACATGGTATCAGAGAAGGTTCCAAGGCAAATACATCAGACGAGGCAAAGGTAAAGGAAAGAGAAAAGGAAAAGGAAAAGGCAGAGGAGGACGAAGGTTCTTCAAATCAAGAAAAGGAAAAGGCCGAGGAAAAGGAAGAAGAAAAGGCCGTGCTCACATGGTGAGTGAAGAAGGTTATGAAGATGAATGGCAAGAAGATGAATGGAATGAAAACTATGACGGCTATTGGGCCGATGATCAAACCTGGAATGAAGGCTATTGGGCCTATGATGATCTGTACTACATGGATGAGTATGGATACTTCCAGAAGAAAGGAAAAGGAAAAGGAAAAGGAAAGAAAGGCAAGAAAGGCAAGGATGATGATGGAAAAGGAGGAAAGCCAGGAGATGGAAGAGGCAAGTCGAACTATGTTCAACCTCAGACCACATCAGCTCCTGCCATACAGAATCAACCAACTCAACAAGCTCATTATTCTTCTGCAGCTTCAAGTTCTGGTCATGGTTTCTTTTCATTTGGAACAACTGAACCAGCACGTGTTGATGTTGCAGAGACAGAGCCATCACGTGTTGATGTTTTGACATCCACGTATGCAGCACAAGATGAACAACGACGTACTCGTCGTGGAGGACAGAACCAACGTGATGCAAGAGCACATCAAAACAGGAGAGAAATGAAGAGATTCCCTGTTCTGGTTGGAGAAGTTGGTGCACTACGACAAGGTGTACAACAACGTCCAGCTGTAGTGCCCAGGCAAGTTGGTCTTCAAGAAGGTGAGGCTTCATGGAAGCCATTGGCAGAAGGCACATCATTGTTTTCACATGGATGCTCTACAGAGATAGAGGAACCATCACAGCAGAGTGCTTTTTCATTTCATACTGTACAAACTGATCTGGCATGTGAGAATGGACTAGCTTTTCACACAGAGAATTCTGCACCACCAACTGTGTGTATAATGGATCTTGGATGCACAAGAGCTATGGGCTCTCGACGAGCAGTTGAAGCATTTTGCAGATATGTTGACTCACATCCCAACAGTGGACTCTGGTATGAAATTCAGCCAACAAGTTCAAGATTCTTCTTTGCAAACTCGCAACAATCAAAATGTACTGAGAAGCTCGTGATATTCATGTATGATCATGGATGGAACACTCAGTTTACAGAATTCGACATTGTCGAAGAAGGTGATGTCCCATTGTTGATGTCACTTCCACAGATGAGAAACCTTGGATTTAAATTTGAACTTACTCCAGAGAAGGCTTATTTGTCCTGTGCACGTATTGGCATGAGAAAAATGGTTTTGAGGACAGCCATTAGTACTCATCTCATTCTCGACTTACAAGATGTAGCATGGTACATGAGCCAAGTTCATTTCAAGACTCCACAAGTCAAAAGTTTCTATTCACAACACGATCACTTTGAGTACAGCCAGATTGCTGTCAAACAAGATGATCATGAAGGAGAAGCTTTGGTGACTGGTGACTACTGGCAGGTTGATCCACTACGTCGTGAACTCATCAGGCACCACAAGGACAAGAGAATGAACTTACATGAGATGACACGATCAGAGAAAACTCCAATTCCAAAAGAACAACTTCTTGATGAGAGAGAAACCCACATGGAATTCCAGAAGAGCAAGAAGAAGGTTCTTCACAAGGACAACTGGCGCACTGAGAAGAAGAGGTTTTCTGAACAGAGTGAAGAGTTCTGGAAGGGCAAGACCATCTACAAGATCAAGGAGGACTACGTGATCCCAGATGACATTGTCAGAAGTGACATTGATCGTGCAAAGCCCTTTCGTGGAAACATTGATGATCTTTTTCACCCTGAGTCAGCCTCTTCAGTGCCAGCAGGTGTACAGAAGAAGAAGCCAAGCTCCTTAAAGAAGGAGGAAGGCAAACCGATTTCAAATGGACCAGGCTCGAAAAAGATTGAGGTAGGTCCACCTGCAGCCAAAAGACACGTAGGTAAGCAGAAACCTCAGGTTGTCGATGACTCTCAATCAGGTTCATCAAGAAAGAAGGATGTTGTCTCCTATCCCAAGCTTGATGAAGAAGATGAGCTTGATAAGGTAGCTAGGGAGTTAGGTTTGGACAAAATTGATTCAGATGAACCTCAAGTCATTGAACCAAAACCTTCTGCACCTGCGCGCAAACGTGGTAAGCAAGATTCAGAAAGTCAAATCGAGAAACTAGGTAGTGATGCTCTTGAGCCTAGGCGAGTTTCAATTCCACTGCCTGGTAGTGAAGTGCAAGCCATGACACCAGCATACAGAAAGATGCTCAGGAAACTGGAGGATAGTGTGGAACTTTACAAACTTCACATTAAACACTATCACATGTCTCCTACTCAATTCAGACGAAGGACTTCCATGTTAGGACTTCCTGACTCTGTCTATCAGAAGTAT